AGAGAGAGTGTGAGGAGGAGAGAGAAGAAGGGGGAGAGAGAGTGTGAGGAGGAGAGAGAAGAAGGGGGAGAGAGAGTGTGAGTAGGAGAGAGAAGAAGGGGGAGAGAGAGTGTGAGGAGGAGAGAGAAGAAGGGGGAGAGAGAGTGTGAGGAGGAGAGGGGGAGTGTGGGAAAGCAGAGAGAGAGAGTGAATGCGAGGAGAGAGAGAAGAGAGGAGGAAAGCGAAGAGAGGGATCATGAGAAAGAGGAGAGGAGAGAGAAGAGAGGTAGGGAGGAGAGAACAGAAAGGAGGAGAGAGAAGAGAGGGAGCATGAGAAGGAGGAGAAGAGAGAGAAGGAGGAGGAGAGAGAAGGAGGAGGAGAGAGAAGAGAGGGAGCATGAGAAGGAGGCGAGAGAACAGAGAAAGCGTGAGGAGGAGAGAGAAGAGAGGTAGCATGAGAAGGAGGAGAAGAGAGAGAAGGAGGAGGAGAGAGAAGAAGGGGGAGAGAGAGTGTGAGGAGGAGAGGGGGAGTGTGGGAAAGCAGAGAGAGAGTGAATGCGAGGAGAGAAATAAGAGAGGAGGAAAGCGAAGAGAGGGATCATGAGAAAGAGGAGAGGAGAGAGACGAGAGGTAGGGAGGAGAGAACAGAAAGGAGGAGAGAGAAGAGAGGGAGCATGAGAAGGAGGAGAAGAGAGAGTGTGAGGAGGAGAGAGAAGGAGGAGGAGAGAGAAGAGAGGGAGCATGAGAAGGAGGCGAGAGAACAGAGAAAGCGTGAGGAGGAGAGAGAAGAGAGGTAGCATGAGAAGGAGGAGAAGAGAGAGAAGGAGGAGGAGAGAGAAGAAGGGGGAGAGAGAGTGTGAGGAGGAGAGGGGGAGTGTGGGAAAGCAGAGAGAGAGTGAATGCGAGGAGAGAAATAAGAGAGGAGGAAAGCGAAGAGAGGGATCATGAGAAAGAGGAGAGGAGAGAGACGAGAGGTAGGGAGGAGAGAACAGAAAGGAGGAGAGAGAAGAGAGGGAGCATGAGAAGGAGGAGAAGAGAGAGAAGGAGGAGAAGAGAGAGAAGGAGCATTAGAAGGAGGAGAGAAGAGGAGAGAGAAGAGCGGAAGCATGAAGAGGAGAGAGAAGAGAGGGAGCATGAAGAGGAGAGAGAAGAGAGGGAGCATGAGAAGGAGGAGAGAGAGAAGTTAGGAGAGAGAAGAGAGGAGAGAGAGTAGGAGGAGAGAGATATGAAAGCATGAGAGAGTGAAGGAGGAGGAGGAAAGAAGAGAGTATCAGGAGAGAGAAGACAGAGAGAGAGAGTGTGAGAGAGAGCAAAGGAGGGGAGAGAGAGAGAGACAGAGAAGAGAGGGAGTGTAAGAAAGAGAGAGAACACAAGTTAGTGGGGAGAGAGCAGGAAAGAGAGGAGAAAAGAGAGAAAGGGAGAGAGAATGTGTGAAAGAGAGAAAGCGTAGGTAGTAGAGCATGAAAGAGGGAAGGAGGGGAAAGAGAGAAAGTGTGAGGAGGAGGATAGAGAGCGGAGATGGAGGTGAGAGGAAGGAAAAGGGGGACCGAGAAAGTGAAAAAAGAAATGGAGCGAAGAGATAGTGAGAGACAAGAGAAAGTTGAGGAAAGAAAAAGCAGGAAACAAGAGAGGGAATGAGAGTATGTGAGGAGGAGAGAGAAGAGAGGGAGAAGGAGGGAAATCGAGGGACAAAAAAAGAGTGAAATGGGGAGAGAGGAGAATCAGAAATGAGAGAAAGAGAAGGAGAGAGCAAGAGGATCAGAAAAGAAGAGAAGAGACAGATGGGTGATAGAGAGACACTAACAGACTGGTGGACGAGATCTGCTGAACGGCCACTTTATTTAAGGAATCAGAGATTTCACATTTAGGACTGCAGGGCTCAGCAAGATTCCTTCTATGTGATCCACATCAATGGGAGGTGGGTCAGTGGTTAAATGCGCCAAATGAATTACAATGGAAGTCTTGATCTCTTGGCATCAAACAGCTGCATAATTCTGCTGCTGAATGGAGAAAATGACTGAAGACTCTGATCCGGGCTGAATGATTTGTTATGGGCTGTATAGACAATCAGGAAGTTCCTTTTCTATGGCCGTCTGATGAATATGGGCCCCTCGCCTTATCTGTCAGCCTACTCCTAAGATGAAACATAATGGCCATGTAAAATGATGAAAACATTTTTGACTTTTTTTGTATATTAAACTAGTCTCTTATCTTCAGTGCTTAAATTCTACTTGCATTTCAGCTGGAATTCAGGCAAACAGCCAAATACACAGTAACATTTTTTTAAAAAGAATCCCGGTCCGGGAACTATCTGCATGCAGTTTGCATATTCTCTATGTACTTGCATGGCTTTCCTCCCACACTCTGATTGGCTTCTATTTAAATTGGCCCTATATGCGTGCATGTGAGATATGGACTTTAGATTGTGAGTTCCTCGTGGGCGGGGACTGATGAGCACCATGTAAACTGTCGGAGTTATATAAATACAAATAATAAATAAATAAAAAGCCCATTAGCCATGTCTTTGGAGTGTTGGAGGAAACCCACACAAGCAAGCATCTGCCTCTGGGAGTCATGCCTGTGACTGTCAGAGGCTTGCAACGCTTCAACCACTCCAACCCTTATGATACAGGACTGTATTATATTCACATGCTCTATGTTCAATTTGTCTCAACAACCTAATGGGGGCCCCTTCCACCCCCAGGCCCCATAGCAGCCACCTGGGCACCGCCGCCC